GCCCTTATTCTACTAGTTATGTATCTACTTAACAGTAATTCCATCCAGGCCACATTTCTCCAGTTTGCTTATTAATATATATGTCATTTGGCACTGTGCCAAAAACCTTACCCGCTTTATTATGTCCACCACAATTCTTCGTTCAAAAAACTAGTTACTCTGTCAAAGTAAGAAATAAGTTGGCTGGTTTATTCTTAATAAATCCACATCAGCTGCTAGGTGTTTACAAAGTTTTTTATTTCTCAGGTTTACTGTTTGCTTTTAAAATGGAGATTGATTGTTTTTAAAATGGATACAAGTTAGGTTTCTTTGGCCTTATCTTGACAGCAAAATTATAGTAAGTAGGGTAACTGCATAGCTTTTTAAAACCAATCAAAATCCCTGTGTGGACAGTCTTGCTTCTGTTTAAGATAGTTTCTTGTTTAACTTATCACTGTTCGCAATTGACAACCTAAAGTGAAACAAGTTACTTTTATACAAAAGAAGAGTGTTCATACAGGAGTTGCACTCTTTTAACTACATCAGTTTAAATGTACTTCTGCCACAACAGGCTTATGTAGGCAAAGCCTAAATATTTTATGCAAGAGGCAAAGATTTCTTAGGTTGGTATCTTTTACTGAACCAACTGCAGAGTTGGGATAGAGTTAGGCAAAATTTCAAATGCAAGACATTCTTCATCAGGTCTTGCATTCAAAAGCTTGCCTAACTATCCCAACTATGCAGATGATCCAATAAAAGATATCACACTAAGAAATCCTTACCTCTTGCATAATTCCCAGACCATCATGGCAACATCACTCTAACACTACCATAAGTATTTTATGCAACTTTCATGAGCTTTCCCAGGTGGCTAACAGGTTTATAATAAAGACTGATCACATGATACCCATGCGCTTCCTGTCACCTGGCAACACAGTGGAAGTTGGTAATAACAGAAATGTAATGAGGGGCAAGTGACACTGAACCACAAAAGAGACCTGAGAACCAAACTGGAGCAACAAATAAACGTCATGGTATCTTTTGTCAAAAAAATAGCTCCAAAGTCAGGTGGAAGGGGAAATAAAAGGAAGGGAGCCAATCAATGTAACATATTTCCTTTTTAATGTACTGGAACTTCCATCCAATAGGTAGGATGAAGAAAATGACATAAGTACAGCTATGGTGACAGAACAGAAACAGAATTAGCAGCCATATTAACTGGGATTGGGCACCAGCAATAGTTTTGCAGATCTGTGAATGCAGTTGTTTATCTTTTATACTGCAGCAGAGAGAGAGCTAGGCACTTAACAGGAGAAACAAAACAGCAAGGTCCCTACTACCACTGTAATGATTAGTGTTCTCAAAAGTTAGTGCTGTTAGAAGCATTATGCGGAAACATTTCATATACTCACACATATATGAAAGTCATATAAATAGCACGTTTACCCGTTTAAAATTCAGGACATGTTCAAGAAAATGATCAACAGTGTTAACAAATGTTTCTATCATTCCATGACAGATATATAGCATCTGTTCTCCATTTACCTGGACTATCTATTTTTTCAGCAAAAAATCATTAGTTCTGTAATATAATTCTGCTGAGAGGCTTCATTTTTCTCGATGGCGAATATAAAATCTATTACAAGGATGCTAAAATATCAACCTCTTTCTTATTTTGAAATCATAACCATGCTGGCTATAAAGTTTAACCTGCTGGTATTTTACTGAACAAGCAACACTGAGTGGCTGCCATACATTTAACAGGTAAGCGTATCTTTTGCAACACAAAAATTTGTATGGATGGTTGCTTATAACTTGTCTAAAATAAGATCAAAATGTATAGACCATGATTATAAATACTATATAGTGAAGAAATTTAATATAATTATCATTAATCATAGAGGTCACTGTCTGAAGCAATACTAGGGGAAAGGGCAGGGTACAATCAGAGAACGGAATATAGGGCTCAGTGGGTAGAGGAAAGTGTGTGGTCATTTATTCTCTATGTAACTTTCTTTGAATAAAGTGATTTGTTTCTGATCAAAATAGAGACTCAGCCTCTTTACAGTCTTAACCTGTCTTCTACTTCTACCTATGCCTTTTTTAACTAAGAATTCTGTATGTATTATTTTGTTCCAATTTTCCATTTTAAATATCATAGAAATTTAAGAGGCTTTTTGATAATTATAATTTCCCAGTAGGTTGGACAAGTAATTTTTCAAAGATAATACCTTGCCTTTAGTGATGGACCAATACACAATTCAGAAAATGTGAGGAAAATACCCACAATGCATTTAGACAATACTACGTTGCAAAAGTAGTGAAGGAATTCCTCACTTGATCATGCAGAGTGATTATTTTGTCCCATAAAACTTAAGATTTGAATGCTGTCACTCCAAGAAGTTGAACAGACCTATCACATACTTTTACATTCATTGTGTTCACTCCACCTGGGGATAGACTATTGTAAATGGACCTGTAATAGTTTATGTTTGTACTTTGATTTATCAAGCTAGCCCCAGACAAGATTTAGTACTTCATTTCCCAGCAACATATGTGCACATAAGGAAAACTTGCTTACCTGTAATTCTGCTTTTCTGAAGATCTCTTTCTGACAGCATTCTCACTCTTGGAGCTCATCTTCTCGGCCTGAAACTGACACAACTCCCAAACGTGTGATGTGTTGCCCTTAAGTACAACTATGGCAAGTTAGAATGCCAGGCAGGTTCTCTAGCCCAACACACAAGTCATCACTGGCTACAAATACCACAGCCTTTCCTCTCTAGCAAATTCCTACCTGGTGTGACTAGTTTAAGGAGCTCCCAGAATCATAACGTTTTTTCATCACTTCAAGCTTTTTCTGATTCCTTATTAGCCATTTTAATCAGTTTCTAGGTTGTCTAAATTGTTCGCCATTTACCTAGGCACGCAAATACAGAATATTCTTACATACAAATTTCAATACACTCTTCTGATAAACTATTCAAGATAAAAATTATTTATATAGCTACATACAAAGTCCTGAAGAAATTATGAACTTCTATTCCCTTCTTCCCTCCCCCACAAAAAAATTAGAAAAAAAAAAACTATGAACAAGTAACACAAGTAAAATATGGAACATTATTATAAAAATGGCAACAAATACAGTGACTTCAAAGACTTTAAAACAATGGAGGTCTTAAAACAATGGTGGAAGTTAATCAAGTTTTTATATACCTTTTCTGTTATCCTTTTAAAGAGTGGATAGACACCATTACATTAGTAGCAGTCCTAAACCTGGAAGATTAAAAATCTCTCCTCAAATCAGAGTCATGCTTTATTTTGGGAGGTATGAATAGTATATAGCACAGTGATAAAGTATGCCAGCCAGGCTGGTCCCAAACAGGTTCACAACCCACCCATGTATGCTCGCATACTCCAAACCCAGAAATATGCCAGTGAGGCTGTCCTAAGATGTCCTTCTGTTAAGACCAAGGTCTTGAGAGCAGCTACTAGGGACAACTCCAGAGTGGTCTTCCTGGCAAACTGTGCAAAAGCATGCGAAGTTAAAGGTGTGGGTAGGGCTTGCTCAGGAACATAACCTTGTACAACGTAAAGGAAAGATGCACACTGCCTGAATTCAAAGAAATCTCCTGATTTCTGTAGCATATCTATAACTACATTGTCATACTGAAACCTCTTTAAGTGTCATGTCACTGCAAAGTCACTGCAGGTAATATGATAACTAAATAAAAATTGAACTTTACAATGCATTTTACTCTACAAAGATACCCCGATACCCTAAAAAATGGATCCGATTTGCATTATGGCTGAGAAATACCTCTCAGCATACCTCAGCTCACAGTGTCACAAGCAGATTCTAGGTGTATAGGCCAGAGAAAAACCTCCCTTTGACAGCTCGTTCCTGAAATATGAGGTGGCAATGCTAGTTAATTACAGTTCACACACTGGTTGCAAGCAATGACAAAACATTTATGCGCATCTCACTGAAAATACATATGTGATTACAGGGAAAAGGCATGATTGTTAAAACCAGAAAAAAAACTTATACTATTATGACAGACAAATTAAAAAATGGAATACAAGAAAAACTAGCAACACAGAAACCTACTACTAATGTAAACAAGGCTTCTGTGGCCATGAACAATATATCAACAATGCAGAATAGGCTTATTCTATGGAGAGTAGATGAGATCCTTGCCAACACTGGTTATTATAAAAGTTAGAAATTTTACAAAGAAGCAACTGTAGATACAGGTAATATTTACAACTGTACAATGCAAATGTCTGTAGCTCCAGTAATTTCTCTAGTGAGGGAGATAAGCAGATGGAATATCAATTTGGATGTATCAATACAGAGACGAACCAAAGTTAGCCAAAATAGAGTCATGAGTCAGGCATAAATTAAGTATACCAGTTTTACATTATCTGAAACCCTGTTCAGCCTAATTTAACATCTCTTATTTTATTTGGATACACGAGGTTTCAATTTCATGCTACCTATATAAACTGATTTGTTAAACCAGGTATATTTTCTCCTTGCTATTATTACATACCTAGTTCTGTTGTCAGTATACTTTTATGCATCACTCCAAGTGAACATGTAAATTTACAATTTACTTTCAGAAATGCTTTTGTAAAGTGCAATTCAAATTTGCTGGAAAAAAATACAAGAAGCACATTTCATTTTAAATCTGACTGATGCTCAGTTTTTGTGGTATTTCCCAAATCTATTATTTTCCAGACACCTCTTGTGTTCATTAAGATACAAAGGTTAGTTGTGGATTTACATTCTTTTTGGAACAACAAAATAATATCAATGAGATATATGAAAGCAAATTAAATTTTGCTGCAGAACTCATTCCAACCAGGAATCAAGCTAAGCCATATTTGTGACCTAGAAGCCATCTTATGACACATTTCTGTTATCTAAGAACTAAGAATGAAAATCTAATGTCTCAGAGAATCCAGTGGTAGAGGAACGACACCCGACTCCTTTTCTAGAAAAAGTTGATGATCTTCTACATTTACATGATGTTTCTTATACACAGTGGTAATGGGTTCTACAAAAATTTTTTAAAAATGGCAATAATTAATAGAGAAAGAACAGTTATAATTTCATTAAAATAGGAACATAATTTAAAGATAGATTTTATTCTCTTTGATGATTTACTCATGCAAACTGCACATAAAAGAAAACAGTACAGTTTGTGAAACATGTCAAATGTAAAGACCCAAATGCTAAGTACAGAAGTAGTGTGACATATCTCTCAAAACGGAATTCATGGCATACAATTATTAACTTGTTTCTATTTGTTGACCACAGATAGGTTTATAATGGTTCTTTTCCAACCTCATTGTTAAATTCGTTAACTGTTTACATGTCTCCTACACACTTATGTAGACTTATTTTACAAGCGCAACAGTTTTATTAAAAAAAACTTTCACTTATATAAATAAAATGAAAAAAACTGTAGTGTTTAGGAGAGCAAATAAAAAAAAAACAACAAACAATGAGGCTTTATCTAGTCCACCAAAATTACAATGAAGAGAAATGACTGTATAACTTTCTGGTAAAATTCACATTTTGTGCCTTTAAGATCAATTCCTCTCTCACCAGACTTAAGGTAGAGTTCATCATTGTGGAAATTTTCAGTAATTAAGTTATACCTTTTATGTGAAATGGTTAAAGTAAGAATGCTTAAAAATGAGATTAACTCAAATTATTTCCTTATTTTTAAAATACAAAATATCCTATTATTTCCACACTTATAGCACTGAAATGATATATACACAATTTAGATAACTCGTCCAGTTTTTCTTATAGTATGGTTGTATATTATACAAATTATGTTCTTTCTCTGTATTACCAATTATATGTAGATTTAAAACTGAATCTCATAAGGAATTTGATGGCACAGACTTGTAGATGAAGAAGTAAGAGCAAATGAACTACATAACCCATTATAAATGCATTAAATTTTTGTTATATACATAATGGAATCCTGTCTTAGCCAGAAGTTGCTACTATGAATCTTTTTTGCTATTATACAAAGTTTTCTGACCTGAAAGCACACATCTACTTTTTTTTTTTTTTTTTTTTTTTTTAAAACTTAAC